GTGTTGGCTTTTCAAACTCTTGGTGTTGTCTTTGGTGATGTTGGAACAAGTCCATTATATACCTTCAGTGTTATGTTTGGAATGCACTGACCTTCCGGAGAGTATCAGAATGAAGACGGCATTGAGGCGGTCTCCTTCTAAGATAAGTACCTTGCATTCTCCGAAAGTTGGTTTGTTGTTCTAAATCGTTTGGTGTGTGTGCTTTGTGGTTTTGAAACTCTATCTCTGTGTTCCCTTTTAGTTCCTGTGCATGTCCTTTTATAGATTCTACAACCTCCTTCATCTAATTAATTCTATGATCTCTGTTGAAGCCCTATGAATTTACTTCCGATTTTGTATGAACATGTCTGGGCTGGTTTTGGAAATGTCTGAAACATGTTTGGAATCGGTTTTGAATTACTTTCCGTTTTTTCCTCGATATGTTTGCATATGTTTAGCTGTAGTTAAAGCTCCTTGATAAGCTTTGTTTTCTTGCTTGAACATGTCTGTTTCGATTTTTGTCCTATTTCAAATTGGGGCTACTTTATTAACTTTCTGATTTTATTCGTTTTGCCCTTTGAAGGATGCTGTCACTAATGGACCTGCATTGCATTGTATTGCAGAGAAGAACAACGTGTTGGCCTTTTATTTGTGCGTACTATTGATACTTGGGGATCTTTGTTTGATCGCATCGATGTTGATGGCCACTTCGGACGCTCGCATTTGGAAGCTAGGGATCATTGGTAGTAAACGTTCTTGCTTCCTCTTTTACAAGTTTTAGTGATGGGGAAAGTTCGCCTTGTTCCATATCTTTGAATTGTCAACTGGTGCAAATAATCCAAATTCTGTAGCCTCTGAAGGTATAATGGAGATGGTAAAATATAAGCTGGAATTGTGAGCATTACTCCCTGTTACTGTGATTGTCATCGCAAGAACTTAGAATAAAGAAAAGGTTAGGGCAGTCTTGGTTATGAAGAATATTATTTTGTTCGCTTATCTTAACAGCTTTACATAATGCTCAATGTTGTGTCATATTCCGTATCCCTCAACATGTTGACATTTGCTTGAACTTCGATTTACAGGGCGTGGCATGGAGGTTTGGTAGAAGGAGTTACTCCCAGCTGGTATTTAAATGATGGATCCATCCTTGGTGGTACCGTAGATACATAACTCAATCTGGTTTGCTGGCAAGTTCGCTCCAAATCGATTCAAAGCATTGTGGGTTCCCTAGAAGCCTCTGATGTTAAAGCAAGGAAGTGGGCCGTTAGCACTATCTGGCATATTAGTAGCTCTATTGTTCGTGCTCTTGTATCGTCCGCCTTGCACGTGTATTTGGTTCAGGGCGTTTAACAAAATTAATGCAGGCTTTTGGTGTAAACCCAAAATATTGATTTAATGTATCCTCAATGAGAAGAGACTCCTATAGCAATCACTGCTTGTGCTTGAATGAGTGTTTCAATGTTTCAAAACATGTGCAACGTCGACCTTATTAACCTTACAGGGATTAGTAACCACTTTGTTATATAATTCTTGTTTGCCCCCCAAGACGCCACAACAAGGATAAATTAACTTTCAAATGGTTATGAGGGCACAAAAACTTTGAGAAACAACATTGTCATAAAGTTAATTCTATCGACCACTCATATACATCCTTGGCCAGCTCAATCTTACTGCATTCCCGGCCTTTGCCGATGAAAGAGTTGAACATTTGCAACTTGAATTCCGAATGGATGATGGATAATATTGATCTTGGATAAAATGAAAAATATGGTGCATCCCCCTTGTATCTACTATACTAAGAAACCTCACGGGGTGAACCTTGAATTACTCTTGACAAGTTACAACTTTAAGACCTTGAATCAAATACTGCCCCCTTTTTAAAACTTCTTTGAAATCATAACTTGAACAAGAATCTCGAAACAAAAAATTTTGAATGTGAATTTTATACTCTCAATTTAAAGTTATGAACACCACGTGAACCTTGAAATCCATTCGAATCATAAGTTTGAAATCAAATAGCCCATTTCATGAAGATGTTATCACGACAAATTATTCTTTCAAATAGACGTTTGGATGGTGATTGTATCATGATCACGCTATTAACCCAGAATTTTGCTAATCTTGAAACCATGCCAAACCTCCTCATAAAGTAATACTCATAAGATAGCACCAGATTGTAACCAGGCTTAAAATTTAAAGTTCGAATCCAAATGTAACAAGATCCTAATAAATCCGGGTGGGAGATCAAAGCCCTGGCTCTCAACTTCTATGCTTAAATCAAAAGGAGAAAGCCATAATGCTCCCCAAATAAACTGAAGCTTCTGAGGAAACTTGAGGGAAGTGGCATTGAATATAACGCTGGGCTGATGGTGCATTCGAAACTTGATTGACTAACTCTTGAGGTCCATTTGAAGTAAACCATGCTTCATCATTTAACAATATTTGAATTAAACAAATTGCTTTTCCTTAATCTTATCTTACACTTTATCTTCTCATGGCCACTATCACATGCCTGAAACCAGAGGACTCTGCCTCTCTGAGGAACTCAGCACTGTAAGATTTCCTGTAATGTTCTGCTAACATATTTAGAGTGTGAAACTGTAATGTTCTGCTAACACTTAGTGGGATAAGGTTTGTTTGATTATTTTGAAATCACTGCAGGTAGTACATTTGCAGTATTCCTTGATTTGTCGTAATGCTAAGGTGAGTCTTTTTCCCAATCAGTTGCCATCAGATGCCCGTATATCAGGCTTTAGACTAAAGGTGCCGTCCCCTTAGCTTGAAAGGTCTTTAAAAATTAAGGAAAGGCTAGAGTCTTCATCGAATCTAAAGAAGATTCTACTTTTATTAGTTCTTGATGGTCCTTCTATGGTCATAGCTAATGGGGTTGTTACACCAGCAATGTCAGGTTACTTACTGCTCTAGTATTATGTATTTTGTAGCTTTTATGGAAGTGCTTTTGTCACAGTATGTTTGGAGTTTGGATTGATACTAATATTATGCTGTAGTCACATCTCGTTGCTTGTGTTCATGGCCAGCTGTTGTTTTCAATAACCTCTTGATTACTTCATACTTAGTTCTAACTTTATAAAATTTTCTTCTTGCAGTACTATCATCTGTTAATGGCTTGAAAATTGGGGTAGATGCCATTAAGCAGTGTACCGTGTTAACCTATTAACAAACTCTTATCTGTAATACTTATTAATACCTGCATTTGATATTACCCGTAGACACATCCTGAGAACATAGATTTTATCTTTCTTTCTCCTTTGAAATAAATAATTGTTGCTTCCCCATTAATAGTTATAGTTTTCAAGGTATTATAATTCAGTCTAAGTGTGCGCGGGATGTCGTTTCTATAGTTTGGGCTACTCTGGTGGAAACGGAAACTGGGAAAAATTGGCTAAATATTTCAATTTTAGAATCACTAACGAAGTTATATTAATTTGTTCTACTTCCGTGATTATGCAGATCAAGTGGTGATGATTTCTGTTGCTTGCACAGAAGTATGGAACAAGTAAAGCTAGGCTTGCTGTAGGACCTGCATTATTTTTATGGTTTTGTTCTCTTGTGGGCATTGGTATATACAATCTTGTCAAATATGACAGCAGCGTCTTAAGAAAAATAAATAAGTCACTCAAAAATTTGCCATGTCTCTTGGATTACTGCTTTGTCTGATGTGACTTTAGTATTACAACATGCCTTAATGTACTATTAGGTGTTTCTCGATCGGTTTTCTTTTAAGTTTTAAGTAAAGCACAAAATAGTTATTATTCAACCATCAACACTATTTTATGAAACATGTTTCTTCCGTTTTGTGCTTGTTTAGTTATTGCACATATTTAACATTGTTTGCTTTGCAGAATATGATTACCGGAGCTGCCCAAATGGATGGTGGTATCTTTTGCTGACATTTCTGCTTTAATTGTGTTGCAGGGTTCCAACTTTGGATGAAACGGTTCTACATTCTGAATTCCATGTTAGTTTGGTTACTCATGGTGCCTTGAATGTTGAATGGAGTCTTCACCTCTTTTCAGATACAATTCACCTCTTGCACAAATCATTCTCATTGGGTTAGTTTGTTTTTGTTGTCCAAGAATGTTCAGCGCTCTCTCTGGAATGGGTGGTGGTGGTCAGGTCAACGCTACAACTCTCTTTCTCGTCGTTCAATTTCAACTCACCGATCTGAAACTCGACCGTCTCTCAGAGCTCTGGTCAAACCACACCATCCAACTCGAAGTGGAGACCGCGGTCGGTTCAATCGTTCTCCTCTTCCTCTTTGCTTTGTACTACGCGAAACGAGCTTCGCCGATATACTTGGTTGATTTTGCCTGCTACAAACCGGAAAATGAACGGAAGATAACAGTGGAATCGTTCGTGGAAATGTTAGAAGATAGCGGCAAATTCGGAGAAGAAACACTTCAATTCCAACACAAAATTTTATCCAGAGCAGGTTTAGGCGACAAAACGTGTTTACTGAAGGGAATAACTTCCTGTCCGCCAAAACTATGTATGGAAGAAGCGCGTCAAGAAGCAGAAGCAGTAATGTTCGGAGCATTAGATGCGCTTTTTGCTAAAACAGGTGTTAGTTCAAGAGATATTGATATTCTTGTGGTGAATTGTGGCTTGTTCAATCCAACACCTTCGCTTTCTGCTATGATTGTGAATCATTACAAGCTGAGAACAGACATAAAAAGCTATAATCTCGGCGGAATGGGTTGTAGTGTAGGTCTTATTTCAATTGATCTAGCGAAAGATCTTCTAAAAGCGAATCCAAATTCGTATGCAGTGGTTTTAAGCACGGAGAATTTAACTTTGAATTGGTATTTCGGAAACGACCGATCAATGCTTCTTTCGAATTGCATTTTCCGAATGGGTGGTGCTGCTATACTGTTATCGAATAAACCATCGGATTTTTGTGTCATTGGTTATCAAATATTGAAGATACACATTAGAAGAATGGAAAAAGAGTTAGCAATGATCAAGGAGAGCATGTGATGATTAGCTCAAGAGTTTTATTCCTAAGTTTCCAACCATAGATCACCATCAATAAAACTTGTATTGAGGAATGGAAAAGCTTGTGTATCATTCAATCTCTGTACATAAGGGGCCCTGCTATTCATATTAGCCCCTGGCCCAGAGCAATTGTACTCTCCATAAAATATAGTCCTGCATTATATATATTCACATTATTACAAAACTAATTTTCAATGAATATCTTTGAAATATTTGTATCTTGTTGTTATAGTTTGTACTTACTGGTCTCTTGTAGGGTCATTGAAATCATTCCAACCTTCAGGTGCAATGATATCAGACATAACTGTGAATGCAAAAATGACACGAGAATATGGTCTCCATGCCCTACCTAACCATATTCTACCATTGCCTCCTATTGTACTGTTCACAAATACATATCCTGTGTTTTCATCTCCTGAAACTCTACCATGAGCGATAATCCCGCCGTTTATGTTCTTTTGTACTTAAATGTGTTTTGTTACTGAGCTTGTTATTTACATGTTCTATCGAGTATATTTGCCTTGCTTAGTCCTCTTTCTTTTCTTTTCAGTTGCCTGGACGTACAGATAATGAGATAAAGAACTTTTGGTACACAAGATCTAAGAAACGGAAACGAGATGGCTTACCAATCTATCCTGACGAGATAACATCCAAATATTCGTTAAATGACAGTCAAGAAAGTGCTGACACATTGCCAAATGAATCCAACCAGCATGATGAAACAGAAACCTTCAACTTGGATATATCTGACTTGGACCTTAAATATTACAAATTCCGTCCAGATATGATGCCACCACTTTTTGATTCTCAAGATTACAAACCAATTAGCGACTTGGTTAGACATTGCTCAGATTCGTCTCATAATACCTTATACATGCCTAGTGCAGTAGTTCAGCAAAGATATTTTTTCAGTAGCAGGAGTGCTACTGTCCCGGAAGTATTTGATCAGTATGGACAATACCCTATGTTGTCTACTCCATGTGATCCGATTCTTAACACCAACCTTCTTCATGGACATGATAACCCTATAACTGGTTTTAATGCCGCGTCAAATATCTCTTCTTCTGACCCCATATATGGATCCATGAATTTTAAGCCCCCTTCATTCCAAAATTCACAGACTCAACAGCCTACCTGGAGCGACATGGATGTGCCGCCACTTCCCTCATTTGAGTATGTTGACACGCCAGTTCAGGCTCCTCCAATTGAGTCTTGTCCGCCAGTTCCAGATTCTTCGGATTGCTGTCATTTAATTGATCCAATAGATTATGATCACGATGCTATAGTTGCTAACCAATTAAACTTCTTAAGACAGGTCCACTCAGAAATTAAAAACACTCGGCGTTATTATATTAACCGTGGTGCATTCAATGATCAGCTTCCAGCTTATTATACTTCCAACAAAAAGATAATTTGAATCAGAAAGATTTGGGGCTGTGATTGATCCTAAATGATGATCAATGTGTTGTTGTAACTTTTATATTCGGCTATTCACTCAATCAAACTTTTTCTGTTCCGGTTAACATTCGACATCTTATGATTAGAGTTTTTCTTTTTTCATTTGTCTAAGTCTGAGATTTCAATTTGTCGAATGTTATGAACGTGGTGTGTCCACTATATATTGTGTTGTTGGTTGTCTCTTTATATGATATTGTTTTTCTTAATGGTTAGCTGCATTGAGTTTGATTAGGTAACTGTAATTTGTTTATAGATTTTGTTATGTGTTTGATTAGGTAACTGTAATGGTCAAAATATTTCCTCCAAAATTCTTTTTAATTTCTTTTGTTGTTGAAAGAAAAGGGGCAAGTCTCAAAGCATGCAGAAAAAACAGCATCTCTCAGATTTGTCAATGCATACATAGTATGCATTATAATAAAAATAGTAGACCAATTGTTAACTTCACAAATATTCTCACAAAAGTTGCTAATCAACTTAAGTACTCAACACATGTTCTAAGAGAATTGTTTTGGAAAACATAAAAAGAAGTTGTATCTTAAAATACAAATTAAATACTTTTTAAACTAACAAATATGATCTATTTCGAGTTTTCAAACAGGTAAAAAAAAAAGGAAATAAAGTAAGATATTATACAATATATAGGGACCGTATAAAAAGACAAAATAAAAAATAAAATAGAAATAAATTATGTAACTTTGTGTACAAATTAACATGATCTATATTTTTTTACAAAACATCTAACTTGACAGCACCAGGTCCATCCAAAAGTTACTTTACAACAAGTGGACAAGAGGCTCGCCTAAACGCATATACTCTAGGCACTAATAAATCTAAAATGACGCAAAATATGGACATAAATTGCAGCATTTGAAAAACTACTGGGATGAAGAAGGTTGTCAATCCAGTTTCTGAGTCATAGTTGAAGTCAGTTGAAGTCCCATCCACCATGCACTTTATTGGACGCTGTGAGGAGTAAACTCTAAATTTTCCACTTCCTCTAACTTTCAAACTAATAGTCGCTGTGGTCGTCCGGTTAGGACCTAGAGAAGTTATCAGTTCTGATGATACAGCCTCTCTGTCAAATAGTTCTTGTTTGTGGTCAGTCTCTCTATGAATTTCGACCTCATCCACAGCTCCTCCAGTGTTGAACATATCCATTAGGCCTACAGCTGCAAATGATATACCGCACGCAATTTCCTGTCAAATGAAACATTACATCAGTCAGTTTAACAAAATCAAAGGCAGAAAAAAATCCAAAAAATAATATTGTATATGTTGATGGTGAACTCTTACTTGGATTGGACAGAAATGGAAAAGTTCAAACTCCAGAACCTTCAGTGTCACTGGAATAGAACATGAACCCAGACAACGCCCTCTTGGGTGCATTTGGATCTTTTTTCTTCTTTGGTTTTCTCTTCTTTCCATCTTCATCGGCATCTCTTGATTTCCTCTTAGAAGTAGATGCTTTAGAGCTAGAAGGCATATCCTTCTTAGGCTCCTTTTTGGGAGGCTTCTGAAAATAGATCATTATTAAGTTGTCAGGAATACAAAAGATTTAAAGAGTAGAAGTGAGGCATCACAGGATAAAGGCAAATAAAACAAATCACTTGCCTCTTTCTCATCATCACTTTGGCTAGCATCAGAATCATCTTCCCCAGAATCATCCGTAGGAGACCCTTCATCGTCTTTTTCAGCAACAAAATTTTCATCCTGTAGACATTTCCCAATGATTTGTATATACAAAAGCAAACAAGATTACATAAAAACATGGTGCAGGGTAAGGGAACCCCACCATAAGAGATAATCATGTGCACATAAGTCCGGAAAAAATGCACAACCATAATAATATGCAATACAGAAAACACAAGAAAGTGAAAAGGATAGATAATAAACAACAGAAAGTCTGGCTGCATAACAACAAAAATTCAAGCTCAAGAATGCCTCGAAGAAGTAAGCATACTTCCAACATCTTTTATATTTTTTCTATGCACAAATATTTTCCAATGTTGGATACAAATTAATATTGTCCTTGTGTGCTTAAAATAGAACACAAATTTAACAAATGCTTTTCATGAACAAAAGATGAGGATAAAAAATGAATCAAATATAGGTTAGGCACCTCCTCGTCACTTTCATTTTCACCAGCTTCATTTCTGATGCGCTCAAGATGTGGATCAACAGCATCATCATCATCGCTCTCAAAAGCCTTAGCCACACCTGCGGCTGGTAGGGCATCTCCTAAATTCATAATTTTCAAGCCCTTTGAACTGCATGATCAGGTAAGAAATGAATTGCTATATGACAAACAAACAGTTGTCGAGTAAAATTTGGCAGCGAGGTAAGTTTACCTGATAAAACCATACAAGTTGTGGTACTCATTTCTCTGAATATTACGGAAGAGATGCTCTTGCTCAGATTTTAGTCTGATAAGGTCAAAATAATGCATATTTGAACCACCGGCAGCATGTCGCTCAAATTCCACATGGTCAATCTAGTCAGAAACAATGAAACAATGAAAACCTCTAATTGGTGATATCATATGCAGGTCCACCAATATTTAATAACTGGTCATCAATAAACAGATCTCAATCTCACCTCTTCATGAGTAATAAGAGTGGGAGGTTTAGGTAGAAAGAAGAAGCTCTTCTCAAAGGGATACAAAATTCCATCTTCAGCTTTCAAAGATGATTTAACAGCATAACCATCTTGACAACTCCTAAATTTTCCAGGCTTGGTAACTTTGGCCCCAGACAAGCCACGTAATATTGTGGTGAACACTTCATGGATGAGCCCCTGATTATTGGATTATAAATGAAATGTACCAAGTATTGCATCGTATCGCATGTGACCTGTAGTTACCAAATTTTCACATCAGTCAATCAACTAAAAATATAATGTTTCACGTTTTCCTCAGCAGGTCTTGAGGATCAGTACCCCGGGATTGTATATCAACAAATCACCAGTTTAGGCTATACCTTATAAGACAACTCCAACTTGTCTTTATACTTAGCGTTATAGAGATCTTCACTTAGTGCCAATTCACTTTGAACCACATCATCAGTTTCAAACTATACATAAACGAGCAAATCAATGTTAGCTTCAGAAGAACACAAAATATTTATCACCTAGATTGGTAAACCATAGACCAATGAGCAATTAAATTACCTGCATCACAATATGAGGGTACAAAGTTTGTCCTTTCCGAATAGGGGGGTCAAGACTAATAACGACGAAGGTATGCGGCTGATTAGACTGTAGATACATACAGCAGGTTGACATGAGAAGTCAGTATTAAAGACACATTTAACCAATTTATTTATTATAACATGAAATTTGTTAACCTCGTTAACAAACTCACCTGAGCAGGGGGTGATTTTCATCACCAACGAACTGGGTGTTTGAATTCGGTATATGGAAACTTATCTCCATCAATGAATCTTTCTGAGATCATATGAATAATATTAGACTATAAAAAAATGCACACCCAAATTGAACCGGTTAACCCCATCCCACAATACAGTCAAGTTCAATATGGATAAAGGTTTTTTGTAAGCAGCTGTTATGAACTATATTTGTTAAAACTCAGAAGACTATATATTTATATACCTCATTGGCTCCAGTTGTGTCATCCACATGAAACTCCAAGATCACATCATTTTTCCCTTGAAGGTTTGTTTGAGAGACATCTGCTAAAGGCACCTCAAAAGCTTGCTTTGAACCAACCATGAAAGCCAGCATATTACCTGAAATGGAAACAGAAGCATAAGAACATCCATTAGTAGTACAACTCCATCAAACCAGCTTTGCTATGAAGATAAAGAATACATTTGGTTGGCAAAACAAGAAAGCAAGAAATTGGCGCAGTTCCTGTTTGAGAAGCCAACCCAACACCACCTACCCCAACCCCCAAGAAAAAAAATATTCTAAGAGTACAAAGAAAGCTAGTGCATCTCCAAATACAGAACAAATGGTATTAACTGAAGTTCTTGGGGGAGTGATATGTGTTGGTATCACTTGCAGAAAATATCTATGTACCTGTTCTTGTGATGCATCTATGTTGTACAGAACACAAAGTCAAATATTTTTACTCCAAAACAAATTTTCTCACATATAACAAGTAAGGATGATAGATCCATCAGAAAAAAATGCAATACATCGTGAGGAAATATCAATTTCATTACATTAGTCAGTTCATGTAAACATCACCAACCATGTAAACTTATCAAACTTACGTCCTGATCACGAAATCCAGTGAATTTGTGGAACGAACCATCTTTGTTCTGAACACCAAGTTGATTACTCTTTGGAACCTTCGTCCATGTCACGCTCAATAAGTCAGCTTTGTTCGATTCAATAGATTGAGGATTATCCATGTAAACTTGTTGAGGAGGTTTGCTGTTTTCCTATTTTTATTTTTGATCATTATTCCAATTTATTTATTCTTGAAATTTTTGAATCACACAGTTTAACAACATTTTTGTAATTGGAGTCCTCATTGTCCATTGCCTGGCTTAGTGTTTAGATCTTTGTCATACTTGCAGAGAGACTAGAGATGCGCTGCGAACCTGCTGCTCCAAATGTATTTCACATATACAAGCATTTAAAACTGACAAGAAAATTCGATAGATAATAATTGTCTAGTGAAAAATGTTTAGACTCTCTTCATCAGTACAACCATTATTACCATAACTGCCAATCCCATGAAACTTCCTCCCATCAAATTTTTATAATCCATGAAATTGGCTCCACCACCATCAGTTGAAGATTTGTCTTTCTCAGCTGTTAGGAATATGTTCTGAAAGAAATTGGACAATCTGCTAACCATTTCAGTAACTGTAAGCTTCAAATTCTGCAGAACAGTCATAAAATCAAAAGCATTTCCCTCCTCTTTTTTAGGAGTTTCTACAGTTTCAGAACCAGCAACAACAGCATAAGCAGCATCATTTGATGACTCTACCGCCGCTAGTTGTGATTCGAAGAAACTAGTGACAACAGGGTTTTTCATGACAGCATTCCATATATTAGGGTCAAAAGCAATAGATTGCACCACATTCTGGGCCTCAGGACTTGTGCTGAGCAATTGAAAAGCATGAATGGCATGCTTAGGCACTGAAGGACTTGAAATAGCCTCAACAAGACAAGACTTTGTCCCTGTTTCCTTAGTAGGAGGAGACACAACAGAGAGTTGACTACTAGGAGATGAACCCTCACATTGAGAACTACCAGATGAAAGGTAAATTTGATCAATAGCTTCCTTCAATTCTGCGGTAGCTTCCTTAAAGGTAGGGACATCGCCGAACACCACTCTTGGCGTGGGCTCTCCGCCGGTCATGAACAGATCGCCTTCATCGGCGAATTCCCAGTCAGACAAATCGCCGGACACCGCCGTACGCAGTGGCTTCACATCAGACCAAGAAAGCCGTTATTTCTTCCGCCAAAGAGGTTTCATAGATCAATCGAGGTTCTTTTTCTCGAGATATTAAGATTCTATTACTACTATGAGAGTTGTTTCTTGAGATATCATTTTCGTCGCAATCAGAAGAAATTGGTTGCTCTCGCATATGATTCTCAAAAGAGCAACATAGATTAAATGATGAAATGAATTAAGGAAGTTGTATGAATTTGTAAAGACTATTTTGGCTTGTGAATTACAACACTGTGATGTAGTTGAAATCAATGATTCTCACTCTACCATTTTTCTATCTCAGCACTAATTTGGCTACTATGAACAATTATATCTTTCTCAAAATATTCTATAGAAGATCTAGTTTAAAATCACACAACCCGATATTTCGATTTAAATTACTAGTATGAAGCATGTTCTGAATTATAAACAATGTATCAAAAATCAAGCTACAAGTTTAAACTCCTAAACAAGCAAAAGACTCCAAATCAAACAACAGGCACAATAGAGAAAGTAACCGCCGCAGCCAGACACGATCACCGGAAACAAAACCGAGTCTGATACGAACTCAGGACAAAACCATTGAATTAACAACATACAAGGTTTCAAACCAGAATCCGATTCAAGGTTTGAAAAGTAATTTAGGGTTTGAGAAGACAAACCTGTTAAGATTTGAATTGATGGTGATTGCTTTGACGGTGATTCGCAATGACGGCGTGAGTGGCTGAGAAAAAAGTTTGTGTCTCTCTCCAAGGGCATAAACAGAGATTTCTGAAAAAGAAGAGAAAAATACACATAAAAAGACTAAATTTTGGAGTTTTATTTTAATTAATTTTTTATATTTCTCTTTAATAAATAGATGTTGATTGAAATATTTTGTTTATTTGATATTTTATATTATTATGAGTATATATAGTCTAATTTTATGTTTAATTTTTACTATAAAAGTTCTTTCGTAATTTTGATGCTCTCGCTTCTCGTTTCAAAATCATTGCTGTTGATCTACTTGGGTGAGTTATGTTTCTAAATCCTAGTACTTTTTCTGAGCTGTTATATCATATGCTTTATCTGGTCTTATGATCGATTCTGTTGTAGGAGAGGAATGGTCAATTAGATGTATAAGAACACTGTTGAATTTTGGTTTTTCTTTTACTTTATTTGTTTTCAAGATTGGAATATATACTTTATGTTTAAAGGAAACTTTAATGAGTGAGTGCTTTAGGTACTTTACTAATACTACGTATGTTGTTTCAGTCCTTTAAGGGGCTATCAATTTTGAGGGGAGAGACATTATCAAATTGAGGCATGTATATTTTACTTATAAGCCTTGAAACCTGTATTTTTTGGAAGTTGGGGCGGATCAAGCAGGCCTGATTTCACATGCAAAAGCATTGAAGGTTAGTTAAAAGTTATGCTTACATTGTTACATGAGAGAATGAGAGGCTACAGTTGATTTGGAATTTAAGAACTTTATTCTGTTTCTCAACTTTAATACTACTTGGACATTCTTTTGGTGGTTAAATTGAAACTGTAAAGTCTCTTACCATCTCAGGCTTCTGAAAGATTGTTTGATTATACCATATAATTATTTTTCTGGAATATCTGTCGTGGCAACTAGATGCTCATACTCACAAAATCTTAAAATTTAAAATAACTTGTCTACAAAGTGATATGTTGTATTTCATGATAATGTAATGCATTTCGTACGAGTGCAGCTTAATATTGTCCGGCTCCCTTCATTTAATATGTATTTGAATTTTGTTATTACTGAAGTTGACTGGGATATTAACGTTAAGTTCTCTTGATTACTAATGAGTTCTAGTTAATATCTATATGGTAATTTTGTTATCATTGAAGTAGACCGGAATATTGACTTACGATCTCTTCATTACAAATGGGTTATTATTACTAACTCTAAAGTCATGGATGGAATCCTTTTGGAAAAACTCTTATAGAATGGGACCCTTGGCTTAATTAAGTATTGGAAACTTGGAGTTGCCTCCGCTTGACCAACAACTCACAAGTGGTAAACCATCCTGTAA